TCTAAACCATGTGATAGAAGTTGATCTGATTTCAAAATCACCTTTGTCTTGTTTAGTACTTGAAGGGCATGAACAATTTCCCCCCACTTCCTTCCCCTCTCCCAGGGGTCATTTTCCCTTTGCCTTTCTCTGCCCTGCGTGCCCTCTGACCCCGCTGAGCTGTACTGTTTTCAGGGACTTCTGAATCTAATTAATGTCTTAGGGGCTGTAGAAGTGAATGATGTAGGCAGGAGGATGTTGGAAACTTGGAGAAAGTTGCATTCCTTAGGGGAGACCTGGCTGTTTCTACAGAAAGACGCATTCCCAGGGCTGGAATGTGAGCCAAGCACCAAACCTCAGTCAATGTATTTACAACTCCACAACTATCTGTTGCCTGATCGGCCACACAAAACCTTCCACGCATCTCTCTGGACATCTGGGCAATTGTCAATCATGATGAAAGCTAGTGGAAGGGGCAGATGTCCCAAAATGCTGCCATTGCCAATGCATCTCAACCATCCAATCCTCCTTCCTTTTTCAAGACAGTTCACAACCATTATGTGCTCAGTGTGTCCTTAGCTGATCTCTGTCCTGACCCTGTCTCTTGCTGGAGCCCCCCAGATCTTTTTCTAACTCTCCAGGACAGTGGCAATGGTCTAGGGGCAGGAAGGGAGAGGCCGGGGAGCCAAAGTTCTCTGCCAGAGGATACTGTCAGAGAGCCCAAGGCGGAGATGGTCCCTCTGCCCTATGTTTCCATGGAAACATAGGAGGAGTGATGACAGCCAGCACAGTCGCACCATCTGCTCAGGACCCGGTGAATGATGAAAGAACACACAGACTAGAAAGGCATCTTGGAGCCCAGGCTAGCACCACTGTGACATGCCTATGGGGATAGGCAAAGGTCTGGAAACACTAGAGCTCTGTCTCTTGTATCCGTAGTGTCTTTAGACCTCTCCCTGTTGTGAGCCTCATGTTTTAGCATGTGATGTGCAAGTCAAAAGCCTAGAGGGTTTCTCCGGCAGTCTCCAGAGAGTTAGCAATGCCCAAGCAGCCTCTGGAAAGAAAAGCAAGCCAAGAAATATAGCTATGGCTTTGCTGGAACAGATGTTGTGACAAATAGTGCTGGAGGGGATGGACCAGGGGCTAGGGGGTGGTGAGCTCCATCACCTTTAGTAGTAAGACTTCCTAAAGAGCTGGCTTTGGATATGACCTATTTTTTTTTTTTAGGGGACCAGAGAGTACAAATCCCACCTGGTCACTAGGGTGACCTCTGAGTTGCAGCTGTGTCTTGACATTAGCACATGGTTGTCATGAAACTGTGCAAGGTTTTTCTCCTCTCCACTCTTATTTAGGGAGAGGCTATGAATTCACTGGTGGGCCTGGGGGGAGGGTCCAGTTCTAGATCAGCAGGGTATGATGGGACCTCTGCTAGGATATGCATATGCCTGACCTCAGAGAGAGCAGCATTCATCTCTTAGTCCCTTCTTTTCAGAGAGTCAGCCTCAACAAACCAACAATTCTACCCTAGTATGCCAAGCCACTCCTGTCCCACAGCTGCCAGCCCTGAACTGCTTGGCTTGATGTGGCTCTGGGGGATATTACTTACATTGATCTAGGCAGGAAAAAAATAAAAAACCCAACCACAGCTAACACACACACATATACACATACAAGACAAACAAACCCACAGGTCATAAGGCTTATGGGATGCCCAAAAATTGTAATAGCTTTACAGAGAAATAGCACATGAAATTTCTATTTCAATTTAATCAATCCTTGGTCCTATTTTATTAAGATTTTATTTTTATTGGAAAGGCAGTTTTATGAAGAGGAGAGACAGAAATATCTTTCATCCACTGGTTCACTTCTCAAGAGGCTGCAATGACCAAAGCTGAACCAATGTGAAGCCAAGATCTTCCTGTGGGTCTCTCACACAGGTGCAGCCTCAAGCCTTGGGCCATCCTCTATTGCTTTCCCAGGCCATAAACAAGGAGCTGAAAGGAACGTGGAGCAGCTGGGACATGACTGAAGCCTATATGGGATGCCAGGTCTTGCAGATGAAGAAATCTCTTATTTTTTTCCAGCCTATTCGCCCACCACCAAAAAAAAAAAAAAAAAAAGCTTCTCATGTAGTTCTGGCCTTCTAATCCCAGAAAGTCAAGCTTTTTAAATGCTCTGTATTAAGGATTTAAAATTTTGACAACTAGATTAAGTGCCTGGTTTGATTCGTGTCCTGAGGGACTAGAGGACAATGGGAACATCTTCATAAACCAGAAAAATAATGAGAAGATCCTCCCCACCAAGGCTCTCATTAACCAGTCTATATTTTTCTTGTAGAAACTAGCATTTATTTCTATGACAATTCAGTTTAAAAAAAAAAACATGAAATCTATGACTCTGATGTTTCTTCAGAAGCCCCACTCTCCAAGTGGACACTGTACAATTAGACACTGGAAATAAAAGTCCGAAGGCCCTAAGCAGAAATGACAGCTATTGCTACAGAGCATTTTAAATACCCGCAGTGCGATGGCTTTTGGCTCAGGCACACTCAAAGAGTGTGGACTCTGAGTCTGTCCAGTACCACGTGATGGTGCTTTGTAGAGAAGGACTTTGCTGAGCACCCTCCTCCAGTAGTCTTGTCTCCCCTATTTATCTTCAGCCTCCCCCACGTGTTCTGTTTGTTAGTCGTATATAAACATACGCGGTGGGGAAGGAAGGCCAGCCAGGCCCCGGGTAGGGGTGGGAGGTCTCCTTCCTGCAGAGGCTTTCCAGCTGCGGCCCAGGAGCAGGGGAACAGGAAGAGGACACGTTTCGCTTTGCCTTCAGCCCTTGGAACTTGCAGTTCTTCCAGAGAGGGGCCCTTCCTCTCCCTCTCTTTTCCACTCTCCACCCCCCAGCCTTTGTTCCCGGGAATGCTGTCTCCGAGGGATGTCTTCATCTCACCCATGCCAGAGCAAACATTTCCAACAAGGCCGATGCTAAGGAGACAGCAGGAAGACTGTTCAGCCCCGCCCCCCACCTCTTGCTCCTTTCCCAAGAAGCTGTGGACTGGGGTTCAGGCAGCCAGCCCTTCACACCTGTGTTCTTTCTCCTCTATTCATCGTCTCTTTGTTCTTTTGTAGCCTTGTTAATATCTTCCATTCCTGATGGAGGTCTTTAAGGGCTGGGAGTTGTCAGCTTGTTAAAAAAAAATAACAATTGTGATGTTTCAAACTGTGCAGATGTTGATTCTGCCTTCCTGTAGTGTTTTTGCGCACTGGTTCTGGATGCTAATAAAGGCAGAGGGAATAATTCCGGGCTGGGGAAGCGAAGGAGAGGGAAGGGAACAAGCATTTTGTAACCCAGTCTCAAATAGGCTAGAATTCTCACTGGCCTCCAGGTTTCTCTACTTGCGTCTACAGTCTGTTTATTCTCAATCAAGAGGAGGGAGGGTGAAAAGTGGTGGCTGGGGGGGGGGGGGTGTCCCGTAATTTTTCCCCAATGTCTAAATTTCTGGAGGCTCCGGTTCTTGTCCAGAAAAGAAACAAAGAGGGCAAGGATTGGAAAGGCCTTCCTCTCAGCAGGGAACGTGGCGTGGGGTGTGGGACCTCTGGTGAGGAGGCGGATCCTTGAGCGGCTCTTCTCTCCCAGAGTCCTATCGGGAGCCAGGCTCCTGGAGCGCTGGCCCCAGAGGGACGCGAGGGTCACCCGGCTGCGCAAGCAGGGTTTCCCCCTGCTCGGGAGGCAGGGAGGACACGGCAGAGTGGTGGCCCTCCCTTTTGGTGGAGCTGCGCAAAATCCGTGACGCGGGACTGTTTTTGAACAATTCTTGAAAAGCAGGAAGGTCACACAACAAAAGTACTTGATTTCTGCGGGGTCCCAAGGAGGGACCTCATGTCATCCCTCCGGAGGACAACCGGTCACTCTACCTCACCAGAGATGGGGCAGGAAGTTCGCAGGGGCCTCGCCCCCTGCTCTGTAGGGAACTAGGAGCAGGCAAGTGGGTTCTAGGGGGTCCACTGGCTGGGAGATGGGAGGGGGAATCCGAGGGACACCTCCGCAGCAGGCTAGCGCCAGCTCAGAAGCAGGTCATTCTGGAGGAGGTTTCCCTGCGCAGCGCTTCCCCTTTATCCTCCCCTTAACTTACTGACTCCAGACCTGGCAAACGAATTGTGCACGGCGCTGCCGCGGGGCTGCACACTTAACTCCCGCCGCGCCTCAGGCAGGCGGCCCGGTCATCGCCCGGCGCCCACCCGGGCATCTGCAGCCTGAGTGCCGCCCGTCCGTCTCAACTCCTGACTGGGTCAAGCGGATTCTGGGCCGCAAGAGAAGTGCGTGCAGCCCGAGGGACAGGACCGGGTGGGGCCGGCCGAGGGCGAGAGGCGCAGGGATGCGCAGGCCGGAGCGGCTCAGCTTCCCCCCCATCCCCTGCCTGGCGCTCGCGCCCCCAGGTCAGCCCGGGACACCCCGTGGGGGCGCCGAGGGTCAGGCGGGGCCGCGGGGGTCTCCAGGCCGAAAGGGCCGATCCCTCGGCGCGGCCTGCGAGCGCCACGGGACCCCGAGGAGCCGCGCAGGGGCGCGCGGGGCGGGCGCGGCGCGGGGCTCACGGCGCGCGCGCGCCTCGGCCTCGCCCGCGCACACGCGCCTCCCGGAGGAGAAAGGCGGGCGGGCGGGCAGGCGGGCGCACGGCACCGCGGCGGCGGCGGCGGCGGCTGCAGCGGGCCGGGCCGCCGCGAGGGAGGGGAGGAGGGGCGGGCGCAGCGCCGGGGAGGGGGCGGTGGCGACGGCGGCGAGGCGAGCTCGCCGCTCTCTCTCTCTCTGTCTCTCGTGAGTGTGCCTGCGCGCGAGCCGGCGAGCGGGTGAGTGCGCTGGCCGCTGCCGCCGTCGGCCGGCCCGGGAGTCTAGGGCTGAGGAGGGAGCCGGTGGCGGTGAGGGGAAGCACCGGGCAAGCGGGGAGGGTCTGGGATGTTGGCGAGTCCGGGTGGGGGCGGGCGGCGGCCGGCTCGGGATGCACCTTGAGCGGCGCCTTTCGTTGCAGCGCGCCGGCGGCCCGAACCTCGGCGGCGGCGGCGGCAGCGGCAGCGGCGGCGGCGGCGGCAGGAGCGACGGCGGCACTGACACCTCCCACCATGGACAGCTTCGACTTAGCCCTGCTCCAGGAATGGGACCTCGAGTCGCTGTGGTGAGTCCCCGTGCCGGCCGCTTGGGGCGGCCGCTGCAGTCCGCGCGCCCTCACCTGGGCCGGGGGTGCTGCGAGGGGCCGCCGCCGTTGGGGGTGGGGTGGGCCGGGGACGCCCGCCTCGCCGGCTCCTGCCTGCCTTCTCCCGCTGCGTGCGCGGCTGGCTGCCTCTCCGTCTTCCTCTCCCACCTCTCTCCCGCCCCCTCCCCTCGGTGCTGCCAGTTCCAGTCCCGGGGCCGGGGATGTGGGGAGCAGAGCGCAGCCGTGGAGAGCGGAAAGAGGCGTTTTACAGAACGTGTCACTAAATGCTTGGAGACCCACCCCTCGGCCCACAGCCCCTCGGCGTTCCTTTCTCTTCAGTCGCGCCACCTCGCCCTTCTCCGGGGGTGCGCACACCCCAGACACCCTGGAGTTGGTGCCGCTTGCAAAGTGTGCTCTTAGAGGGATGCTCCAGCTTCGTCCCCGCCGGCGCCGGGTCATCCTTTCTGTCTGTCCTACCCACTCCCATCCCAGATGGGAAAGTGGGCACGCGGGGCACAGAGTGAGGGTTTCCGGGTGCAGGAATTATGAAGGCCTTGGCCAAGGCGCAACCTTTCCTTGGGGCTTCTCAGAACAACCTGGCGCCTTGCTTCGCACCTCTGCACAGTGGCACCCCCTCCTCCTGACCTTAGTCCACACGCGCCCTGGGGGTCCTTTTATGCCGTGCTCGCAGCCCCCGGGCCCCGTACGTGCGGGGAGATGCACGTGGGGGAGCAGCTAGATGCAGTTTCCTTCCAGTTGCGGGTCTTCAGTTATTCCGTGGGCTGCTTCGGTGTCCCTCTCATGCCCCCACCTTCCCACCCTCACTCCCCTGTCTCCTCAGTGCTCCCCACCAGCCCTGTTCGGGTGGTTGGATTCCCACCTGCATATTCCTGGAGGAACTTGTGTTATGTTTAATATTTAGGGGGATGAACATATGCTGGAACAAGCATATTAACTGCACTCTGTTCTGCCTCTGGTAATGGCTTGTTGCAGAACTGATTTTTTTTTTTAATTCGGTAGAGTTCACATGTGTCTAGGATTGCAAGTGGTGTGCACATGAATATGCAACGCGCAGCTTAAGCGCTAACTTGCTTTATGATTTATGGCTCCTATTGATGATATGTGGTATGTGTATGCTATCCGTGATTTAGATTTCCAGTGAATTATTCTCCAAAAGACAGGTGTAACAAAATAAACTGGACTCAAGGCTAGCGCCTTATCAAGCCTTTTTTTTTTTTTTAAGACCCTGTGATGAGTTGAGTGCAGCTTGGTCTGCATAATGCTGGTGCCTATAAAACACACGAGGATGGGTCTGATGCCATAAAACTTGTATATATTATGTTGGAAACTTCAAAGAGCTGGTGTAGGAAGAATATGAAACATGTTATTACTCTATAAAAGTTGCTAATTACCCTGTTGCTGTGCCTGGGGTTATTTCAGTCTTTCATTTACAGATACCTGTTATTTTACAGGTTTATATTCACCGGTGTTGGTTTCTGGCACCAGTTCAGTACATTTCCAGGCTGAAACTGTACTTTGAAAAAGGAGTTTGTGTGTGTGTGTGTTTTGAAAAGGCAGGTTCACCATCAAAGGGAAGAACTCACATTCTGTTGTATTTTTTTTCCCCCTGCTGCGTGTCTGCCTGCTGACTCAGATTGTACCCCCTCATGGCTTTTACAAGTGACATCTAGAGACTGTTAGCCATTGGTGCGGGTTCTACCTTCCCCGGGGCCTGGCTTCCACTTTCCTCCCGCCTCCCCCTTAGTTCCCCTGGCTGAATGACTGGGACACTGTCACAGAATAAATATTTATTGAGTTACTTTGAAATTTATATTAGGTGCAGTATGTGTATTATTTTTGAACAGAGTAAAGATATGAAGCATTTGTAGAGAAGTAGCCGTGCTTGCTGTGAGGTTTGCATCTTCCCATCAGTTTTTTGGTTTGTGAAAGCAGGCCCACTTTCTTGATTGCCTTGAGGAAGGATAGGTTGGCTTGATGGATTTGCAAGTGCAAAGTTTGCATTTTACAGAAGCTTACAAGTGTCTGTGTCAAGTTCCTGGTAGGCAGACTCCTGCGGTACGCAGTCATGTTGTATTGGTCAGGTGTTTTCTCAGTTGTTGAATACTTGGCTGGTATTTTCCCACACAGTTGTGTGATGGACTTAACTTGTTAAGCTTATGGTTTACTTTAAGCCCAGATAACTGATATTTGCTATTTTCAGTGTATCTAGTATTTTCTTATGTACTTCTTTCTCATTGGAATCTCCTAGCAGTCCTAGATGTACTAAATGCTAGCAGTCTTATTCAGTGGGGGGTGTGGTGGGAAATAAGGCTTGAACTGTTAGATTTTATTGGACTGCAAAACAGCAACAACAGATTTTAAAAATAAAACATTTTCAGAGCACTTGTTGGTCACCAGGCCCCGTTGTTTGTCCGTTGCATGTATTCACCTATACAGTCACCTCAGCAGCCGTATGAAGCAAGGCTGTTGTCATTAGTCCCATTTTACAGATGGAGTAATTGAGGATTGGGAGCTAGCGAAACATGTCGGGATCTGGAACTCACATTAAAGCCCTATCTCTGTGGCTTCAGAGCCCATCAGCTTTCTCAGATGCTGAAAATGTCTCCCGGTTTGCAAGGGAAGCCATGAAAATTTTGACGGAGTGGAAGTTATCAAGGAAAGGAGAGTCGGAGCCCTCAATGTATTGGCTTTCCATCAAAGACTGGAAAACACAGACCGAGCTTTAGGCTGGTTTCCTGATGTTTTACCTTATGGATTGGATACACATTTTCAGTGAAGACAGTGGAAAATTGCTTCCTGTAACTTATCATAAAGAATCACTTTTCTTTGGAGGAGTGAGAAGGAGGCACAAATTAATGGTAGGAGAGAATCTCCTTTTCAATCTTAACAGCTTTTGCTATTTGGCAGGTGCTGTTTTCCAATAAAAACAAATTGCAGTTTTGTTAGTTGCGACTGTGGCTTTGAACTTGGCCACTCTGAGGGTTATGGAAGATGTTGTGAACTGAGCAGGGACAGTATGACGGGAGAAGTTTGGTACTGCCCAGCATAATCCATTCAGACATCAACAGTGCCTTATTGTAGGTCATGTCTAATTCAGGAGCTACCGCCTCTGTCTTGTGCCACTCAGAATCATCCTTGTTTATCAAGGTAGGTCTTTTGAACCGGAGTTTTCTGGATTGCTAGTTCAACTTTCCCCTTTTCAGGAACCTTGCAGTGGCTATAGGTGGTCCTTATGTCTGCCGCTACTTCTGCTTCGCTCTTGTGATTGGACTTGAAGGTGGGGGACTTGGAATGAAGCAAACACTGCCATTCTGTCCTCAGTTCCTTCCACAGATTCCCAAGATGGGGTCAAGTCCTGAAGAGTTGAGTTTGAGTGCCCAGATGCTGGCAGGTGTGTGGAGGAGTGGCGTCTCCGCTGTCTTCCCCCACTGCCTCCTCACCTTCTTCCTGTGTTCCACTGGCTTTTGCTCAGCTGCTGAAACACACAAATCATTCCTCAAGGCTTTTAAAATAATGAGGGTCCTTCTTAACAGGCTAACTGTTGCTTTCATGTACTCACTCCACAATCTTTATTGATCATCTCTTAAGTGCAACATGGGCTGGTTGCTATAGGGGATACAGAGGTAAGTGAAACATGGGTTGTGCAAATGATGAGCCAGTATGGGAGAGACAGGTATGTCGAAAAAAAAGGACAATTTCAACACTGGTGGTTCGGAAGAGAGACTGTACTTGGAACTGGAGTGCAAGGTGGAGGGAGAGAGGAAGATTTGAGTTAACACAAGAGCTTCTGTGGAAAAGGTGGCCTTCAATGATGGGGTTTTTGAAGACAGTGGAGAGGGCCTTGAGAGGATGTGGAGTCATCTAGAACAAGGAAAGAACTGTAACAAAAGTCTCCTGGTGTCCACAGGAGTGTTTTATTGTGAATCGCAGCGGAGTTACCTATACCATGTATCTCACAGCTGCAGAATGGTATATTCATGAGGTGGTTTCAGCGAATGAGAAAAGTTTTCCATAAGGAGCTTCGTCAGATGTGTGTGCCATCTTCCCTACCGACCAGCACGTTGGAGTCATAGCACAGAAGTGTGCAGTGAGTGTTCAGCTCGTCGCTGCCACGCTCCCTCTCCCTAGCTTTGTGCGAGTCTGGGTGCTACATCTGCTGTTCCGTGGCATGGCAAAGTGTGTGCTTCCAAACTGGAACCTCTGAGACGGTTCAAAAAGGAGCTTCCCATCATTGGTTTAGGTGTAACTGTAGGGTAGTGCCTTTCAAAAAGTGGTTTTAGGTCACCATACATGGAAACAAATATCTACCGTTGTACGATTATAGCCCCTCACCGCTGCGCACAGGTGTTTGCAGAACTGAACAGGAGAGAACCTGTATTCTTGCTGTGTGGGATGCACATGGAGACTTTTCAGTCTCTCTCTCTTTTTTTTTTTCTTATCATTTTCATTAAAACCTGCAGTTTCCAAGTCTGTACTGTCAGGGGATACAGGGGAGAGTGGGAATGCAAGAGAATCAGCACTAAAGCAACAATACAAACAAACAGACAAACAAAAAACCAGCTCTGTCGGTTGCAAGGAGCTGCACAGGCAACTCTGGTTGGGGGAGAAGCTCCCTTGGCATGGCGGTGTGGGAAATGGATCCCACGGAAGTGCAGTTTAGGAACGAGAAATGATAGAGGAAGATGGAGGTGGAGGGCAGACTGCGGCTGCGAATATGGGAAGAGTTAAGTGTGGAGCTTGTTGGGGAAGATAGCACTGTTAGCTAAAGCAGAGTGGGAACACATCGTGCTCCCCTTGCAGCCGCTGGCAATTAGGCTCTGGAAGAAGACTTCCCAGGGATGCATTTGTTGTCTTTCGATCAACCACCGGTGGCCACACTCAGGCCTTGGCTTCCCACGGTCTTCACAGTATCAGAAAACCCCGCAAGTCCCTGAAGGTGGTCTTCAGGCACTTCGATCCCC